GAGTTATGTGGGAGTTACTTAACAGCAAAGATGTGTAACTTCATGTGAAAAAAGCTTTTTGAAAACCTGATTTTTGGGTAAAGTCAGCAGGAAGTTTCAGGTTATCTTTTCTTTTCGTCTTGAAGATCAGTTATGATCTAACTGCAAATGACATTTTGTACTTCCCTCACCTCAGAGGGGTGAGCTGCCACACATGGTCAGCTGCTGCTGTCCTCAGGTTGAGCTTTTTGTTCTTTAAAATAAAGTGTTTTGATGTGAACTGATGAATTCACGAACACGGGAGACGCGCGTCATCATCTCGTGCCTGCCTTGTTGTTAATGCCACTGCACGCAGTTCAGACTTGTGCCGTGTTGGAAATGTTATGTAAATGTTACCGGGAATGACCCTGTTAGGCTGCCTTCACAACAAATTAACGGAAAAAAAAGTTCTCGTCTGAATCGGGCTTATTGCTACTGGGTTGTTTTGTCTGGCCAGAGATCACTGCACACACCATGCAGACTTATATTTTTTCACACTCAGACGTCTTTTAGCACGTATGCGTGTGTGATGTCTATGAATATCTACGGAGGATAACTCTGATATGCAGAAAACGTAACTCTCAAATCCATCTGGGTGCCGCGTGCTTGTTTAGGGCATCGAATGTAAGCGCGTCGCCGTGTGTTTCCCTTTTGTGGATGTGTGCGCATGAGAGCGAGAGCAAGAACACAGCATGAATTGGAATCATCCGACAGCACCCAGTCCCTGCCAACACAAACTTGAGCTTGGCTGCTGCTGTAGAGCAATAAGAACGAGACAGGAAGGCAGTCAGCTCCTCGGATCAGAATTGGCCCCGTTTCCCCTCCTCGATGCATATTCTCTGATGGATACGTGCCTGTCTATATGTCCTCTGCATATTAAAATCTAACACACACATAGATATCGTTAAAGGCCTTTCTTATCGCCACAGAGATCATCATGGAAACACGTGCTCCAGTTTACAGTTTGGCTTTGTAGCAAAGTTTAATTGGCCCCACCACCTGTCTCAGTTCATTTCAAAGGGTAATAGTCACTCGGCTGTGAAAGGGAGGGAGCACAGAAGAGCAAAGGAGACGATGAGGTAGTACTGGACTCTGGGAATGTAAACACAGAAGCCCTACATCAAGGCTTGGCATTACAAGCGACACATTCACTCGGCTTTTTTAATATACATTTTTTATTTATTTATTTTTTGTGGAAAATAGGAGTGGAGTTAATTTGCAGACTTTGCCAGTTTTTATGTCTCATTCATATGTCATAAGTTTTGCCAGGGTTTGTAATGTCATGAAACGCCTCAGAAACTTGGCACGTAATGCTTTAGCCCTTATCTTTGACTTTACTCTAGCCCCCTCCCCAATCGCCTAATTAGAGTTTTCCCATCCTCACTTCAAGATGTGCCATTTGGAGGCCTCATTTATCTTGCGTGCCATGTCACAGAGCACAGGAGCATTTAAAGCGAAGGCTGCAGATTGAAGGCCACAATAAAAAGCTCACATTTACACATCTTAAAGGAAAAATTGTGCTGCAGAGAAGAGAAACAAGTTTCCTAACTCCTTGAGAGTGTCCCCACTTTTCACTCGTGCCAGAATATTTACACTGTTGTACACCACACGCAGATCAACTTCAGGGCTCCAAAACCCTGCATTAAAAATGGTCCAAAGCATTCATTACTCAGCATTTATTAGGCTCCAGAAACACTTGTTTCAAAGCCCACAGCTCTTCACTGTAGCTTCAATGCAGGTTTTCCATTAGAGTGCACATTGAGACGACTTCCAGCATCACTACAACATCATTACGGTTGTGTGTGTGTGTTTTTTGGGCGTAGGAACGTTCGCTCCAAATCAAAGAGAGACGTTATATAACTGTTTTGACAGGCGATGCGGCGCTCGTGTCGATGAGAAGACAGAATGTGTAAAAACTGGCGCAGGTCTCCACTGAATTTGTGTTCAGCCCGCACCAGTGACAAGTTTAAAAAGATGTTAAGACGGGTGTAATAATGATCTCTCTTACAAGAGAGCTAACATCTGATCTAGACGTAGGCAGCTGCTCCCA